CATTTCAAGTTTCAAAGTTTTGCCGAAAACTACAAAAGTTGACACCAAGCGAAGTAAATTACTAAAACTCCAAGCAAGAGAACTTAAAATGAGTGGTTATAGAATCTTTACGTGAACTAGTGAATTGCAAGCAGATGTAACACATTGTATTGACAAATGGCATCTCTCTATTATTTGCGCAAGCGAGATATAGTGAGTTTACGGCTAAAAATTGACTGACATCGACATGTGAGGATTTTGGGATAGCCGCCCAAAATTAACGGAAAGCGATGGGCGGGAAATACAGTTCACAACCCAGGCGAATATTAATCCACGTTTACGTTTGTATTGTAGCCAAAAAACAAAAGGAAAATATATTCCTAAATTGGTTCAACAGCTACCAACTGAACCATTAGGAAAAAAAATACGAGATACGATTATTGTTTGCTGTATCAGAGTCAAAAACGTCTTTTTCCGTTATGAAGCCACGGACTCCAAAGATTCAATTCGAGTCCTTGACCTATTACTCGGATTTGCCGAACCACTGTAATTCCCCACTCGTCCCATCCCTAGCCAATGGAGTAATGGACCAGCTGACGATGGGAACAGGATGGTTGATAAAACCAGCTCAATAGTGCCAACTTGCGGGTGCTTGAAGAGGATTGCCTTAGGTTGTATTAAAAATTTACTCCAGAAGTATGTGTACTAATATGGAGGTAACTAATTTTGTTCGCTTATTTTACATCAAGTTGTGTAAAGGAACTTTTCACTTGGCTACAAAAATAAAACAGCTCCGAACTCGGGATAGAACTAAAATAAGGAAAATTGGAATTAAATGATGGCCTAACCCTAACCTAGTACGGGTACTAACTACGGGAGTATCAAAATTTGACTACAGGTAAAATATATTTTTTTCTCAGAATTTGCTGAAAATTTAACAAAGAATACAGCGACATCACAACTTGACATCAGCACCATTTCTCTGTTCAATACATATTTTGACTCCGTTTTGCGACTTAAATCCGAAATTTGGACAAACCTTGGGTCTAAATAAGTTCAAAAATAGTACATTATCTTTAACGGCAACACTCATAAAATATTTGATCTCTACATGTTTTTGGACACGTTTAGTGGCCATAACAATCGTTTCAAAATTTTGTTGTTATTGTTATTTGTCTCCGTCTCCATTTTAAAAAAATCGCTTCTCTCTTCGAATACTGGACCAATTGCTTTGATATTTTCAGTGGTTAAAGATAAAAATTTTCTCCAGAAGGCTATCATTTTTTTTTCGCTATGACGTCATCAAAATTATTACCACTGGGTGGTGCTACGTGTCCATATATTTGAGCATATCTCTCTCGTTTCTCAATGAATTCCGGGTTCTTCCGCAAGGTGGGATACGAGATCAATATAATGTAGTTTTTTTACATGATATCGGGAAACAGTGAAAGAGCTTTGAACCACCTCAAAAAATATTACCAAGCTGAAATATGTTTCTGTAATAACGACGTTGCTGAATTCTAAACAACTCAAGAAATTTCAAACATCGTTTGCTACTAAATACTACAAATTGTTCATCTGTGTCATATCCTTAACCATTTGCAAGTTTTTCAACCACAAACCGGTATAGAAACAACGAACGAGATTTTTTTTATATAACGATCAATAAAAAAAACGATCAAAAAGCGTGAGTGAGACAATTCTGTCGACAGAGCAGTCTCTTGTACCGCACAAACGTTACACTAGAATTCGAATAGTATTTTTCCAGAAAATTAGGCGTTATGAAATTTGAAAGTCGTTGAGTATTGACTGAGTAGCAAATCATGGCTATAGGTGTAATGTTCCTATATATGCAATCTCGTCACTGTTCGCTGAAAGAGTGACAATGCTATGTTAGTATGCGAATGCATGAGTATGCGCCATACCCAAGATCTTACCCAGCCAAAAATAAATAAAAATGTTTGCTATTTTTTTTTTGTATATTGTCGTAACACGACGTTTACCTGAGCATTTTTCTCCTAACAAAGCTAGATAAAAGCGGCCACTGTTATTTAAATGTATCAATAAAGAAACTCTCTATAGACTTACCTAGCTGTTGAAGTTGTTCAAGCTATATATAGCGCATTTCCATCTGTCTCTCTTGGTTTATTTATACTAGAGAAAGGATTATTGATAGTAGGTCAGGAAACGTCATATTTCCAGTAAACCGTTCAAGAAAAAAGCAAAATGATGGTGAAAAAGACGTAAGAATTTATGTATAACTGCAAATGCTGCAAAATTACATTTAAAAAAATGTTGTATTTTTTTGTTTGTTGATGGTATGGCTACCCCTATAGCCATCTTTATTCCTAAAATGGTGGCACCCGACCCCTGCTTCTCTCCTTTCAACATTCCTTTTTGTCATTTCAACATTGAGAGGGCAATAAGTGTCACGTCGTTGCGGAGGTAAAGTAGTTTTAAGATCAAGTAAGTTTTGTTTGTACAATTTTCACCTATGACCTATAGCGCACTTGTCACCATGTTCGAGACCAAATTTCTATCAAGGATCAAGACGCTATACTGTTCTACGTGATTTAACTTCAAGTTATGTTTGTATATTTTTACTTTATTCAATACCGATTTACCTCATCTTGACTTGGATATTCATAAATCCACCAAATGTCAATGATCATGTCATGGTTATAATACATTTTAACACTACAAGAAATGCAACTTGTCTTCAATTTTGATGTTATGTCAAAATATTTGGAAAAATCTGTAATTATCAAAATAAGTAAACAACATCAAAGAAAGTAAACAACATCAAAGAAAGTAAACAAAAAGCATATTTAAAAATTTATTATAGTCACAAAAAGTTCAAAATATGCAAAAATAATTGTGCAAAAGCAATATTATCAAAGCTCTCAAAAAGCACTTTCAGACAGTTCGAGTAAATGCGACCATGACAACTTACTTGAGAGCCTTAACTGTGATTGATGAGGACCATCAGCTAATTTATTACATTGGTCAAAAAGGTTTTCAATCCGAATGTCAACTTTTAGACAATCCTAATTGCAACTTAGATTTTCAGCTATAAGGCGAGTATGATAAGAATAGTGCCAGGATCTCCATCAGGTATTAAAGTTTTTATTTCAAACTAATTGTACGATCAATATCAAAGAGTTTCACAAAGCCCACTTTTCCAACCATCAGTGAAGTTTTTGAAAAAATAAACAAATTTTAATTCCAACATTACTGAGTTCATGCCTTCGTTTTTGTTTGTGGTTTTATCCGAAAACAATCGGCAGTTAGGTACCTCCTTCACATTAAGTAAATAAATTGAGCATAATTTATTCAGATAGTTGAAAGACTCTATGCTTTTTGTAATAACAAAACATTACTAAATTTACAAAAAATAGCATAGAGTATTGTACAACCTTCTTCGCCAATTTCAAAAATGAATATTCAATAAGTTGTTTCAAACTTGGAATGCAATCCAAGTCCCACTGTCATGCGTTGATATATCTGTTATATATTGCTTTATTCTCGTTTCCTCCAGGGACATATTAAGGCGGGTACTGATAGGGTTGCAGTCCAGAATCTAAAATAGTCCACCAATGTCAACTTGCTAATGGACGCTAGTAGATTTTTGCTTAAAAGCGCCGAGTAGTAGGGAAGGTCGAATTATTAGAATGAAATCTTTGGAGTTGAGATTGATGATGTTATTAAGGCTTTGTATAAACCCAGAGTTTATATGCTATTTGATATGTGAACATTCGTCGTATATATAAAGGGTGTCCATAAAGTCCTAAAATAAATCATCGATACCATATATTTTTTGGCCCTCACAGATGTATTAAATGAAGTAAAAATACTTAAACGCTTACTGATTAAAAAGCAACAAACCTGGTTAAGATATATTGAGAACTAACTTCGAAACGAAAATGAAATTGTAAAGGAACTTTATGGACACCCCTGTATATTTGTGATTTACAACCGTTGCTGTACAACGAATGGAATGAAATGAAGGTCTTTAATTACAGTATGACACCAGGCCTTAGAAAATTTTGATCTGTTTCTGCCCATCTTTCAAGTATGCTAGTTAGGCTGCTTCATTGACGCAAGATTTGGGTATTTGCTGCTACGTTTTTCTGTATTTGAGTATTTCCTCCAACCCTGCCGCGTCCCCCTTCAAGTTAAATTGTTCTATTTCAATCTAGAATCAGAATTTTCTCATTAGTTTAGAAGACCTACGTATTCAAATCAATTTTAGCACGTAAATTGTCGTACGAAAATGTTACTCTAAACACTGAGAACAAAAAGAGATCGTGAAACAAAAGAGATCGTGAAACAAATATTCGTCCTAATATTCTGTATTTTAAATTTAATTATTCATGTTATTTCAAAAATGGACAACATGCGAGCTCATTTCTGTACTTCAGAAAATTAAATACTTCAATTAATGAATATATAATGCAATCAAAATCTTATTTTGTCCAATAATATTGAATCGGAAGACTTTTAATATAAGGTTTTGACTTGAGTGTTGCTTTGTAGCTATTCAGTCTAAATCCACTGTCAGCGCTATAGCGATACTCGTAAGGTTGTGGAAGTATTCGCTGCTATCGTCATTCACAAAGGAAGTCTTGTTACCTGGCAGGGAAATTAAAAATTCTACTCGATGGATGAACCACTGGTCGGTTCGCACTCCATAAATCGTGCATATTCAGATATTTATTTAAGCATGTGTTGCGACGTAAAGCGTAAGCACGTTACGTACGTTCGGCAGTATACAGGTACGCGTCTGTGAATGCACTGACTACACACGGCAGTTTTTGCTACAGTCGCTGCTCGTGTTGAAAGACAATCACACCGACTAAGTGTGGAGTATCCAAAGTTCTGCTTTGGGCAAGATACAACAATGCTTCTAAATCTAGCTAACAATAGAGATTATATTCGAGATGTTTAGAAAGAAATGTTGGTTGGACGTAAATTTGTAGATCGTTTTATAAGATGGAATGTTTTTATATTTCAGCTTACAGTAGAATTTTTTAACTCAAATTGCAAACTAACTGATATTTTCTGATACGGATGAGGACACTTTAGATCTCAAGTACGAACTCCTGCACTCACTTTCTACCATGAGTACAATCGAAACCGTTTCGATTTCTCAACCGACTTATGAGCCAGGCGTTACCGGCAATGATAGTCTTACAACCGCCGAGGATGACATGTTTGTAGGTATGTTACTCGTGTCTTTATTAGTCTTGAAAAACTATTGGCTTCTGTTGAACGCTGGCATTGCATGTTATGTTTGCTTGTCACTCAACTTTCAATTCACTGCGACGTAGCGGCATCGCCTGAATCAATTATCTTTAAGTGTCTTGACTTCTGACATGAATTGTAACCGATCGAACTTTAAGTTTAACAAAAATGTATATCTGACTACTGTTGTTTTCATTATGACCTTTCCAAATGTATACAATAGTATAAATCACCATATGGCGTGATTAATATGTCCGCTCATAGATTGATGACACCGGTTAAATGCCATGCATTCGTGGGTCAGGAACTTTGGGAACGCATACCAAGTTCTGTACGTCGAGGAATCTTCTGTGACGTATGTCCCAAACCATCCATGACAGATGCACTCGCAAACGAAATTCTACTCAAATAGTTTTTCTTGGTGACCTTAGTGTCCTTATGGCATTAAAAGTTTCATTTAGGATGTGAACAGATGATATTGTTCCCGTTTTTGGATATTTACGATACCATAATAAATTACGGACTTGTGTGTTCCCAGTCGAGTGTATATAATAGCATGCTTTCGAACGAAGTGACTGAGTTTATTCAAACCATACTGGTACGCGATCAGTAAAAGTTTCCAACCCAAATTGTTGCGAGAACAACTTAACGCGTGTTAAAACCTTCGCTCATTTGCTGGAGCAGGTTAAAAATACACTTGGTAAAAATTTAAGTTCCGTATGCCAGTATTTTTAATGGTCCGGTCAGGCCATGTCACGTACAATAAGGTGTCACCCATCTGAGTTGCCTGTTTATGAACCAGTATTACTCATAAAATTGTGTAACTCATTGGAATATGCATATACACCGCAATTCGAGCGTAACCTTAAAATCATTTTATTTGCATTTATTGTTTCCATTGTCACATGTCGATTGTACCATTGTGTGCTACATGCATATTATGTACATAGTGAAATTCTATTTTTACCTCTTTTTCGGGTATGTTAAATGTTTATTTGAAAGAGAAAATTACCAACCGTTTGTGACTGGTACCCACGCGTACATCCAAATGGTACTGAATATGATAGATTCCTATTTACAATATCCATGGGTTTACGTATAATTTCACATACACGAATTTCTTACTAGTGGAGGGTTTTTTGATGGAAGAACCCCAATGCTTTTATTCCATCCATCTATGTAATCTTCACTTTGCTATCAAATTAAGTGCAATGCACCAGATAAGTGGTGTTAATGGATACATAGCAGAGACATTCGTAGCACTCGAATGCCACGATTAAGTACTGATTATTACATCCGATGACATGTTATTTCTTTAATGTGTATGCGTGATCCAACACAAAATGATATTATCCGTCAACACCACGATGTGATAAAACGAATATTGTTTCTGCTAAAGCATTAAAAATAACTTGATTAATTAGGCCGAGGTAATGGATTTCTCGCTTGTTCGCTCGGTGGAGATGAATGCACCAGCAACGACAAACCATTGATTTTTTATGACTCCCAGTCAAGGTTAATGAAAGATTCATGACGCCGTAATGTCTACTTTCCAATTGGACAGTTTTTAATCAATTTTAATTACAACATATAATATTCTGTATCATTTTTCGATTAATTTACGAAATTCGATCGGACATGGATCAATTCATTTACGTTATGGGTAGTAAAATAAACATATACATTTGAATATGTAATTAATGGCATCGTTCGATACTACCCAGAATGATGGGCTTAATGAGTTATTGCCAGTAGACATTGCATATTTGTATTCAGAATGGTGGTGATTCAAAAAATAAGAACGTAATATTTCGTCACTGACCTACTGGAAAAATAGCTAATGAATGGTGCTCGTACATTTGAACCCACGTTCATTTGAACCCATACATTTGCACCCGTATATCCGCGGGTTCAATCTATATTTGGGTGCTAAAATCCATGGGTTAGGGTCAGTATGGGTTCAAATATCCGTAAAAAAAAACAAAATTTTCATAGGTGCATTAGTATGCAGGTGCAATTGTCGTGGGTTCAAATTACAGGTTCAAATGTACGTGCGTTCAAACGTAATGAAACCCTAATAAATATACATTTTTATTTCAAATGATGGACTTGAGTTTATACACTGGACAGCGCAGTATTTTTAGAAAATAAATTTAAAATCTAGAATGAAGACACCCTGATATTTTGTGTCCAACTTGATTGGCGAGTGATTATCTTTATTTTTTTTCGCTCACATTGAAATTCGATTTTGATCGCTTGATATAATGGTTCTTTCTATTTTATTATTGAGATCTATTTTGTATGTTAAAATGCAGTCAAAACTTGGGTTAGCATCGTCCGAAATCTCAGGATCAAATTTGAATTTTTTAGCTATCAACCAAATAAATCTAATTGAAAAGCTAAGCGACGTAAAGTACTCATTTGTGTAATGATATTTTTATAGTCGTTTTTTGTGCATATGTCGTTTTTGATTAAATACTTAAATACATAAAAGTTGCGAAACGTTTCTCGGAGCAGAAGGAGGGTTGGTCAATTTGTTTAGTATCCGGTATGAACCGAAAGCAACAATCTCAAATTCCTAATTGGTTATTTTGATAAAAGACGAAATATTTCCTTCTATTGAATAACATGAGTAACCAGATATCGCTCATTTAATTATTATTTATTTTTATGTAATTAATAGTATTCCAATAAAATAATAACGAAAGTTGGAATTGTTGAACCAGTTTTGGTTACTTATAACCAGTATATGCCCACCTTTTCTATGCAATATTTAGGACCATTCGTAATATTTTCTGGTTCGTTTTACATGTAGATTTGCAGTTAAGCAAAACAGATTATTCTGTACTAATCGCTATTTGTTCTAGGATTACATACGTACGGTTAAATTACATCAAACACTTATTTTTTTCAAGTAGGTATTTTATTTTTTCCCGTTAATGTATAAAATTTTTACGTATTGAAACTTTATCTCAAACATGCTAATTTAGCGAAACGCGCAAGTGTTTCAGTAAATAATTGATGAAGCTTGAAATAAAAAGTTCGAACCCATTGTCATTTAAAAATAATACAATAACTAGTGTGGGCACTGGGAAGAAACGACGTTATACCAAGTCTCAACGCTTTTAAATCATTTTGAATCAATTCTTTCCTTTTCATAAGTAATTTAAACTTTTCGTCTCTTGTGCGTTTAATTAGAACATATGAGAATCGACGCGAATGTTTCGTGTTTCTATTACGGTTTCGCGAGATTTGAATTCAGTTTTATATCGTCCAACTTTCATGTTTTCGCAGACGCAAATTTCCGTAATCATTTTGATTTGAATTTGAGGGCAAGACTATCATTACTAAATCAAAAACTTGGATTCTAGAAATAAAGCCACTTATATTTTAATTGAAAATTTTAAATGAAACGAAACTATTTTGAAAGTTTTTTTATTTTTATTTCTCCGAACAAAGCACTAAATACGCAGTCACTTAATTATAGAAAGCTACCCAACTACTAAAAAAATGACTTTGTTAGAATTATCGTGTTTTTATAATATCCAAACATAAACCGTCAAATATGGTAAAGTTTAAAGAAAATATAAAACGGAAAACGTCACTTTTTGGACTACTTTTGGAGACCACTAATTCATGTTTGTTCTACCGGGATTGCTGGGTTTGGGATTGTTTCTTTAGCTAATGCACGATAATGCACGAGTGCTCCCAATTTATTTTTTACATTTTAGAACCGAGCGAGGAATATTTGGAAGAACTGGCGAAAATCAGCAGAGTGGCTAACATCGTGATACCCGTTGTCATAATCATTCTTCTGGTACTTGGGATCATTACAAATGTTCTTGTAGTTTACGTTACGGTTGTAACAAACCGCACGGCGAAACATCCAATTCACAGTATTTTCGTTCTGAACTTGGCTGTTTCAGACGTTATGTTTCTTCTTGTCAGTGGACCGTACTGGGTGAGTAATGAGACATGAGATATTTTCTGCAAGATACATTTATTGGTCTTGTTTCTACGTGATTTTATGCATTTTGAATATTTTGCGCATCATAGTAACCGTAACTAACATGCATCACATCTCTGATTACCATGCTAGGGTTCGCAGGTTCGAAATCCGTGGCAAAGAATTAGGCAAGCGAAGCTTGATGGACTTCTCACTCATAGTCTGGTAAACGTAACGTCTGGTCGTTTACAACCTTTCCAGTCATCAAGTCCACGCATAAAAAACTGATGACTAGTTAACTATTCTCATATCCGAACTCAAATGGTAAGGGTAAACAAGACGCGGGGCCATGGTTCGCCTTATGATTAGGCCATCTTATCTTCTCCCCGAGATAAACATGACAATCCTATCCAGTACAGATTTGTGGGGCATCTTAATGTGTTTTCAATGTCCGCTCGTTTATATTCTTGACTTTGATTGAATAGAATTAGCTTACTATGATAAGCAAGATTCTAATATTTAGAATATATTTTGTTTGTGTATATAAGGAAATTCTGGAAACTATCATAGCGTTTTGCAAATTGGAAGTTGGCTATTTGTCTTTTCTCTCGAGGGGCTTGTTTTGAATAGTTGGCGACAGTTTATTTGCTCATGAGGGTCCTGAGATATAAATTTAATTTTTGTTAACAATTTCATGTAAATTTTGCTCTCCAATCGATAACATTCGAAATATATATATTTAGAAAAAGGTGTTACGCATTTTTACGCATCTTAATCTCGTAATTGTATTATGATTGTATAGCAACAACTATAAATATTTTTAAATGCTCTGCGTATATTCTGCAATTTCTTAAAGTAAAGCAAAAGATTTGAAGTCCGAAACTTGTACGTTTTACACAATTTAGCATCTCATTCGATGTCTTCCCTGTGCATTAAATCGTGCATTTATATTTGACTATCACATTTTATTGTAGCATTTTTTTAAATTGCCAAATAAATGGTATTCTCTATTATCTGAAATGTGGCAGTATTGGAATGCAGTAGTCTTCCATTTATTCAAATTTGAAAACAATTTTGCAAGATTTTAAGCTCTTGATTGTAATTGCGATAATGGTCGCATTGAAGTGATATCTTTTCAATCGAGTGTGTAGAATGTGATATATTGTATTCGAAAATGGGCCAATTTAGAAAAATTCAAATGTTTAAAAAATTGTTTCGGTGCTATCATGTTATGCCCCACTGTTTATCGTGGGTTTGATTGGGTAAATAGAGTGGGTGCATACCCTAACTCAACTTATCCTAACCCAATTTAACAAAAAAGAAAACAGAAATGTGCAGCGGTTTGGCAAAAACAGTATAGTACTTTTGCAAACTATAGTAAATAATAGACTAGCATCTCTGTTAACGATGCACATATATCACATAACACAGGCTCAATATTAAATTAGCAATGACAACCGAGAACGTAAGTCAGATGCATACATGCCATGCGGTAATAAAATATCTTATGGCTTTGAAGTTGATAACGAAGCTGACATCAAGGTAATTTGGTCACAGAAAGAATTTGCTTCAGTTGATGATGCTCACAATGCCGTTCAGTTTCAATTCTGACGCTGAATAAAACCGGGTGATCGATGAGCCCGGCAATAAGTTAGGCTAGGAGTTAGGATCGGCCTTAAGCCACTGCAAGATATGCGCAGTGGGCCCCACACTCCCATGGGTCCCTCGCTGAATTTACATGTAAATTATCAAATTCAATTATTGTGCATTATATTCATGTTAGCGCAAGTTATCGTGCTTATTATATATATACATAAAAGCTCATAAACTAAAAGTATAGATTATGCAATTACATGAAACATTATAAAATGCGAATGCCTAATTTTCATTCATCATCTTTATCCCTGCCGAACTGGGACCGCGAAATCTGTTGTGCATAAAGCCAAGCCGGCCTTGCTAGGAGAACAGCCATAAAATTTTACGCGTCGACCTGATTTGATTAAAATATTGAAAACGTTTCGGACTCGCTCGCTCCGACTCGATATGAAATTGAATTTTACACGTATTTAACTTGCATTGAAATTTTATTACAATGCGTGGTCATGTCAAATCACTTGGAGAAACTTCGAAATGTCACGTTAGTTAATTAGTAGTACAGATCATATAACGCAACACTTTTATTAAGAATGTCAGTATGATTGATTGCTGTCATGTGAATTCAATTATTTCTTGTGAATAACATGTCCGTTTGAAGCTTCTCTCATGAAAGAAACTATTCTTATAAATTTTGTACAACCTATTGTGAATGTGTTATGCCAAATAGGAAATCTGTTTGTCCATTGAAATTGAATACTTCCCTCATACGATATCCGAATTGTAGCTTATCCACAGCGTAAAAATAACTGTGATTCCACCGTAATTTTATTCGTGTTCTCTTGTATTAGCGAAACTGTTTACAATTTGGTTCGCGGTGATCTACGAATATTTACTATAAATAACCGTGAAACGGCTTAAATTTTCTACAATGTAGTTAGTATTGGGGATTATTAAAAAATCGTTTTTAAGTCAATGGTATTCGAAAAACGCGTTTTTTTATTAATGTTTTTAATGAAAATTGATATCTTTTTCGGTAAAAATGCCATTTTCTCACTGAAATCACGTTATGTGAATAGGTTTTATGTTTTTTAGAGTCAAGTTTAGCATATATCATGATTTTATACAATAAGATCATTTTTTTTGCAATGACTTTAATTGCAAATCAAAATTGTAGAATACAGAACTTTCGGGATACAGGCATTTCGAATATCATTTTAAGACGCTGCGCGGTTTATCTGATACAATACTGGACAATTGAATAGTTCTGCGGAAAATTTCTGTTTTAGGCCAAAATCCAGAAAAATATGCCACAAAATTGATTACTCTTCAAGGTGTATAGATATATTCAGCATAAAATAATGAAGATTTGAGTGAAAGTCGGCAATTTTATGCGGCCTACGTACTGTATTTACGTCTTCATGTGCGTAAAAACGCGAGTTATTCAGGTATTTCAATCCGGATATAAATGCTTCAATGATACGGTTAACGTAGTGTAAAATGACTAAATCATGTTGTTTGATCTGGTATTTCTTAAAAATAGGAATTGAATTCAAGTATCTGTACGTTTCGTGTAAAATTAATAAATACTAAACATCCCAGGCTTTTAAAGTATCCATTATGTTATGAGATTATAATAAATTTGTTGCATATGTCAGATTTTATTGGTTGTACTTGAAAATCATATGCGATACTTTTCGCTCCACTAAATTAACCCATCAAAAGAATTTTCATTTATATATTTATTTAAAAAAAAAGGTTCATTTCTATTTACCATACTGAACCATCAGCTTGCTGCACTAAAAGATTTGGATAATATGTTTTCATTAATGCCATATAAACACAAAAAGACACTCAAGCATGCATAACAAAACAACATACTTTCATTTAGTAAACCAATGTACTAACACGGATGTTTTGTATAACAAAACCACATCAACTATGCTATGTCTCATTTTTATTTCTCCGACAAAACGCTGTCGAAAGTTTTAAACACAGCCATGTATGTCACAAACATTTCAATTTAAAATAATTATAACTATCCATTTCGCATACTTGGATCTTGCGAAAATTAACTATGGCCCAATTGTAATAGCCTTCGAAAAATAACATCTCAATATATCTAAAACCGACTGAGTAATAGATACTCTCTTTAAACCAATGTCGTAAGCAACACGAATAATATTCAAGAAATGTCAATTATGGTGATCTACAACTGCATTTATCCTATATCTACGCAAACAGCCAGTAATGTTTTAGGTACGTCGGTATGATTTTGTCAAATAGTATCATCGTTGGAAAATGGCTATTGGGTATAATATAAAATAAAACAAAAAATCTGTAATATTAGGAAAATTTCGCAGTGAATATTTCACTCATTACTTTAATATTCAAGTGTGAGTACCATATATGGAACATTACAAAAAAATTACTGATTTTTTATAATAGTGTTCAAATGTAATAACAATAATAATGTTTAAGCTCATAAAATTGGAAAATTGCTTTTGCGGGGAATGCCGTAGTGCGCATTGGGATGAATGAAGCTTAAATGTTTCCAGTCAAATTAATTTGTTATAGCAAGCACGTCTGTCAATTTCCACATTTGAGCCTCTCGGTCACTCACATGAAACAGATATTGCTCTACTACGAATTGTTAGATCAACTATCTACCATAAACTACTGTTGCTTGCCTGATATGACCAAAATTTGGGAACCCTGTAATTTATATGGAGTAAATCTACTGCCATTTATCTATCAATCACAATTTGATCGAATATATGGAATTGTCTAGCACATATGGCCATGACAATGCTCTAGAGTCCTAGACTAGATCACTGGTTATCAAGCCGTGGTCCATGGACCACTACTGGGCCACAGAAACATTTTCAATTGGACCACAAACATAAAAATTGATGAAGGTGTTGATAAATTCAGTTTAATATCATTTTAGTAGCAATGGATGATGATTCTGTTTATTGATACTTAATGGTAGTTCTAATTTTGATTAATAAAACGAAGGTGCATATTTTTGCAGAAAGAATTTTTTGTTTTTCCTGTAGTTATCCCTTTGTATGAGAATGTTGAGGGGCAACAAAATTTTTGTACAACGAAATAGGACCACAAAGGAAAAAAGTTGAGAACACAACCTTAAATATACTGATAAAACAGAACTTTTACTATTACTTCTACGTAAATGAAGAAATTTATTTCACATTTGAACGCCTTATTGTGTATAATTGTACCCAACAGTTTCAGTAATATAGGACGATTTGAACAAAAGTTATGTTCTCTCCAGAATATTTTTCAAATGAAATGCGTTCCCTTTTTCGGGTCACTCTGTACTTAATGGTTGTTTGTATGTGTATCGTGTACCAAACTGTCTCTCTGTCATTTTGTGGATCCATGTGTGCTGACTGCAAAGATACTGTAGCCAGCAATACAAACGGCTATTTCAAGTAGATGAAACCACTAATTTTATTTTGTAACGATTCCCCTCAACCTCATACAGAACGTTATACAATTTGTGATGTAAGATTTTTTAATCCCCCCCTGAGATGCTAGCAATGTTTTCGTTCGTAGATGGTACTTATAATTCCTCAAGTAATGAATGAGATCTTTTACATTGGAATCAATCGGCGTTGGCTACGACGCTACAGAATCCATTAATACACAAAACTACTAAATAAACAATTTTTTATCGGGAATTTTTTATTTTAACAGCAAATGATAAATTATATGTTTCAGATAACAATCACATCATCCAGTATGTGGCGTTTTGGAGCATTTCTTTGTCCTGTAATTCCATTCATATGCAATTGTTCCATGGCCGTCAGTATTTATACAATATGTGCCCTTGCATGGATGCGTTTTATGGCTTTGGTGATGCCTTTTCGATTTCGACGTAGCTGTATTTCTACCAGAAAAGCAGGATATTTTGTGATTTTGGCGATATGGATAGCAGGAATTATACTTTCAATACCTAACCTCGTATACTACGGACTGTATGATATGCAAGGAGGCGGTAAGTTTATAACTTTATATCTTTATAGTTTAATGTGTTATTTATCTCAGACTTATGTGTTTTCATAATACTCTCATTAATCGACGTCATGTTGATCATTAATAAGTTTCGTCTTACGCCTTACATTACTTTTGCGATTCCCAGATGACCCCACGTTCTCTGATCCATGTATTCCCAGTCATCCTCTTGGGGCATAAACGAAACACGCGGCTTGGAACTCAACGTAAACATAATATAACTATACACTATTTATAACGCTGATGTGTTTGCTCGCAAGCCTTACGATAGAAGCGATTTAAAAACCGAATAATAACAAAATAAAAGAGACGCTAGGAGTATTCATCTCTACTTGGTTTTGCATATAGTGATTTCTAAACTGGGAGTATTTCACCATCTTCAACTGTGTGTCATGGGAATAGAATAAAATGAATTTGCTTCACCATCAAGCATTTTTATTCACATATCCTGTGTGATGTATTATACTGTGTTAAACACTATCCTGTGTGGATGAAGAGTCTATAACTGACATGGGAAACCTACGGCCCATGGGCCAAATCCGGCCCATTGGGTAATTCAATCTGGCCCGCCTGACGCCAAATTAAAACCAAATTTTGATGTTTTAGCTAAAAATAACTCAAGGAATTTGTTGAAATTGCGATTAAATTTAGTTTCGTCACGAGGCTTATTGTTTTCCACTTTTGCTTTTGTAACACTGTAAATATTGTTCATGAAATTAACTTTTTTACGTTACACTCACATGACCCGCCAGTCTAGATGGGCAAAATTTTTGACCCCTTGTTCAAAAACCTTGACCAACCCTGGTCTATAACGATATCGACAGAACATTATCTCAATGCTCTAAGTTAAGATGTCGGTTCCACTGGTACTGATAACTTGCGCATGTGTCCCAATGAAGTCATTTTTTTATGTTTTGCATGATTTCAATTGAACTCGAATTCCTTGTTTCCAAACAGTTTTTTGCCGACCTGTCCCAATTCAAACTCAAAGAAGATTTGAATAAATCAGGACTGAATCGTCACTCTAATTCTATCATATTTTGCTCCGAACAAGGCCCTATACATGCAGTCACTGATATCTCATGATATACAAGGCGTTACTTTATTTGAATAGATTACAAATTTATTACACCCTGGGTGAGGTCATGGGGGCATGACATTTGATCCCGAGATGTGTAATCTTCGTCGCTAACACAATAACGTCTAACGCTTTAACCATGCCACCCAGCTGACCTAGTGGACCCCATAGGACTGGGAATCGGTTGGTCATTTCGTTAATCCATTAGGGGTGAAAGGTCACTTTTTTCACAACCCATCCTAACAACAATTTAGTATCTAATAATCACAAATTTCTGTATTTTGTAGCATACTCATGTGAATGGACTAGAGAAAGCGAAAAAGCACACAACGTATATGGAGCTGCAAAACTTGTTGCCACATATCTATTTCCTCTTCTTCTCGTCACAGTTTTCTACGCCGTAATCGGTCGAGAGGTCCTTTGTTTTATGATGCATCATAATTCCAGAATACATCGGTAAGAATTTTATTGATAGCCTTCATTGGGAAATTATCATCCATCCCTATTGTGGCTGAATTAAAGCGAAATCATTCATTCTTGAAAATGTCTGCATTATCATGTTCGTTTTAAAACGAGTCAGAGCTCTCTGTAATCAGTTTCACCTATTTACTTGTCGTACGTAGCCTTTCATGCTGTGACATGCACACATGCAGTTTATTTCAACATAACGTTTTCGTGAACTTTCGCCCCCTTTCGGATTTGAAATCTGGAAAAATGAATACGTTTTCGAAATTCAAATAACTTTTTATATGTGAGATTTTGGTACTCTCGTAGTGTATGTACCAGGTTAGGGTTGGGCCATAATTTTATTTCGATTTTCCTCATTTCAGTTCCATTATGAGCTCGATGACTGTATGTGTTAGCCAAGTGGATATACTCCCTGTTCTTGATGTAAAATATGCGAACACCACTATCACCACTAATTATGCCCCCAGCCTAACCAAACTAGGCGATCATTGATTGTATGATTATGAACAGAGGGATATTAGCCAAATTGTGATGGATCGGTTTCGGTGTTAAATCTCCGCTTTTTTGAATCGTCAAGAATACTGTCCGTGTTATTTTTCGAGAATGTTTTGATATAAAGGTGTAATTAAAGGATTCCCCCGTGCTGAGTTCAAACACCCATTTTGGTTGACCAAATACATTCTTAATATTAAATACTGAAAGATTTAGAATGATTGTGTCGCGATGTACAAAACCGCAATACAACCTATACACGAAGGTTAATGATACAATGAAAACAGTTGATGCATTCAGTTCAAAATCGATGTCACATTCCAGAACAACAAACTGGTAAACATAAGCCTCGTTGCATCGGAACGATCAAATGAAAATATGCTCAGTCATAAACCACATTAGTATAAATTTTCAAAATGGCTTCCACCAGGCAACTAATTTAGCAAATATTTTTCAGCTCCATCATTCTTGGGGATTTGTTATCTGTATCTGTTAAAATGATTTCGGCAATGTCAAAACAAATTCCATTCGATCCGAGAATAAAATCAATCTCTGTCATGGTACTTACACGATGCAATAACGAGCACAGTCGCGGTCTTTTATGCTCTTCCATGACACGAATAGCAGGTTTACTTGGCTCGTCTTCAAATGCAGCGTGACCAAACTAAATTCAAATGAACTTTTAATTATGATATTTATTTTTTTATGCCACCCACAAAACTTCATCTAATTGATGGATATTCTTCCAAATCGACCGACAGAAGAAATTATATAATATTTCTCTGAAGCCAAATTTGAAAAAATAATTAAAAGTCTATAAAATTGTGCTATTTTTATCTGTAGTAAACTTGATAAATAAGATATTCGTTTCAAAATTTAATTTATCATTGAGGTTGTATCCAATTAAATATGCAATTCAACCCACGATTGAAGTGTTTTGCCTAGAGGGTAGTTATGCAAACCAAGTAAGTCGAGTTACCCATTTTGGATGCTCGTCAAGCATAAGCCAAAAAAGGATACTCCCGTAGTGTGTGTACTAGGTTAGGGTTAGGCCATAATTTTATCCCGTTTTCCCTATTCTAGTTCGGGGACTGTCTGTGTTAGCCAAAGTGCCATAGGTTTCAGTCCCTTTACACAACTTGTTGTAAAATAGGCAAACAAAATTAGTTACCTCTATATTGGTACACACACTTCTGGAGCGCCAAAGAATAAAAGGGGCTTGAACATTGCACTTCTTTATCTGTGCTTGATAAGAAAAAAAATGTATTTGTACCACACAAAATATGAGCGCGAGGCTCAATGGCTAAACCTTAATTGTGATCTTAGGTTAGATTCTCGTGTTCAAATCCCATTATCTCATCCAGGGTGTAACAAAGATACTGGTCCTTCTACCATAAAGTACCTCCCCACATATCAATGGCTGCTTGGGCGAGCCTTGTTCGGAGGGTAATTTTCATAAATACGTTGTACAAAATCACCTATTTATGTAGAATATATGCAAGACGAGTAAAGTGAATTTCTCTTTACTGAGGTAACGCACGAAACGGATGAATTGTATCGCAGGATTTTCCCGGTTTTACTAATTTGTGTAAAATCGTTCTAAAATTCAAAATCAATTCAAATTATCTTCATTCGTTCAGCGATCCACACAATCCTGAGCAAATTTCCATCATGCGGTTTGCCACATTTCCGCCTGTTTTTGTAAATCAGTCCAAAATCCAATAATACAATTTTTTTGATAGGAATTTCCATGCTGACACCAACTGCGCATATTCTGCTTTTCAGTCGAAATATTGTACAAATGTAAACTAACCAATAAGCTGAAGTAAATTTCTTCAGACAGAAAAGAAACATGGTACTTTGCACGACCCCATCATGTCAATAAATATTTGTGTTTGAAAAGAAATAAACCGGATTTAACCTGTTGTAAGATGTTATCATACACCAGGAAGCGTGATAGATTTTATGTTTTTTTTTCGTTGAGAATGGAGTATAAATGTGAATTCGTGGCAGCCAAGTTCAAAACTGTAGTAAATTATTAATTTAAAATCACGCGATCGATAAGGTTTCGTTAAATGATTTGTATTTAATTTACGTTTGCGAGAAATTAAATGGTAACGTAACAGAGAATAATTCATGTTTATTACTTTTTAAGACACTTTCATTGCGTCGTTGAACGTGAAACTTTCACCAATAGCGCGGAAACGGCAAATGTAATAACGTATTGTAAATTATTAATGTTTAATTTTATGTTCAATTTCTGTTTCATCAAAAATTGAAAGTTCCGTCTTCCGCCATTGATTTCAATTATAACGGTAATAAAAATTGCGCAATATACATTTCAAGTAATTTAACTTATAATATCAAATTTCACGACCTAATTTTGTAATATCGAAAAATTTCATGGTTCATATCGAGACATACGATGCTATATGCTGATGCCACCAAGTTAAAAAAAATACATAAATTTTAACCGGTAATGACTAAAACTAAAACTTATTTAGGCTGTTTTCGTCCAGATGAAACTTAAAAGTGTCAAATTAGTCGACTTTGGTGCGTTACTTTTTGTAGAAAAGGGTTTGAGAGGTTTGATTCTTGTATAACTCGAAAGGGGATCTGTGCATTAAAGACAGTCTAGCCTTAATCGTTGGATCATGATTGATTCTCATACATAAACTAATCGTATTTTTTTAAACTTATTTTCGACTGTTGCCACGTATGGCATTCATATACGAAACTATTTGAGTCGATTTGTTAAAAGATTTGACGTACTGGTGAAATTCGAGTAAATTTCCGAAATTTTGAGCTATTTCAATAAAAAAAAGACGGCAAAATATGTATCATTGTATAATGAGTGAATCTGAAATATAAGAAAAATAAATTTTTCTCCTTTAGATACATTTCAGTCGTGCATGTCTAACCAGTGTGTAAAGGCAAACAAATCAGATTTTTGAAGCTACCGTTATGTACGCTATTGATGACATATCAGTAAGACATATACTTTGGTAACTTCCCTGGGTTTACTAAAATTAACCCATTGAAGTGAAGAACACTATTTGTCAATACAATACAGGAACTAAGTATAATCGAGTTGGGTTAAAATGTCACTCTGTTGAAATTTTCATTTTACTCCATGGTCAATATGCATCCAGGTGCATCCATGAATTGGGTAGTCAATGCGGAACCGGAAAGATTCGTGTCCTTCCATACTTTAGTAATTCCTTAACTGGCAGTAGAGCTTGTGCAGAGCCATGTTTGGATCAAAAGTCGTATAAATACGTCGTATAAAAAACGGTCTTTTCAAATCTGTTCATTGTAAAAAATGCAAGTTAATTTTTTTTCAGCGTTTTGAACGTTTTCAACATTTTAACGATTTTTTAGTATTAGGGATATGAATGTGTCATATATGAATTTATTTTTATACAATTCTTAACAGTTGATCGGTATTCTTGCAATTTGCAAATGTTTTTGTTATATATATATATATACTGAACCCTACTCACCACGTCCGGTTTCAATAAATACATCGAAATTTTGTATTCCCAACTGTGCGGTGAATGTCACGAATCAATCGACCGACCATTTTTTCCGATGATAAATTAGTTTTTCAATTTCTTTATATTTGAGAGAAATGATGCCTTCATTTTTTACAATCAATCCCTGGAGAATTAAATAAAATGGAGATTTTCGCCAAGAAGTAGAAACCGATCGCTGGACTTCATGGTCTATTTTTATAGTAGGGGTCAGGCGGCAGTATAAAATCGTTTTAAAAATGGAAAAGTGTAACCTTTGAAAGGTTTTGGGTATTCGATGGTAATTTATAAATTGGGAGCCATTCTCGGAATTGTGGTGGATTATGTTTTCTATTGACATGTATTGAAATCCCTGAAGAATGGGAAAATTTTCAATAAAAAGCTTCAAAAATACTATTTTCCGGTAACTGAAAATATTGCGATTAAATATGTGTTGGCGAAATGTTTGTTACCGGTTTTAGAAGATTTCAAACAAAGCATATCACTCTCACTAAAGTTAAGGTAATATGATCCCAAATTTGTACGTCATCAAATGCTTGGTCGCTTGACTAGAAAATGTTTGTTCTCAATTATAAACCGCACCTAAGTGGAAAGCGACAACACTTTCATTGGAATTTCGACTGCTTCCCGTCGACGATAATGAAAAACCCCATCTTATTCTCACGGAAAGGGAATTGTAAAATTGGACAGATAAGGGTATAACTAAAAGATTTTTGTCATATTTTGGAGAAAACACAAAATAAATCTATATCATTACGTCAATTTTGAATCCAATCAGATTGTTTTCGTGATAAATATTTTCAGAAATCACGGACTTGATTTTCTCTTTCTGTAAACAGATTCTTTGGATGGAGACATTCAAATTTTGCGCTTTAATTCAATTTTGCGGTAAGATTTAGATTGATCTATCGACGTCATTTAAACTAAGAGGTTCCTGAAAATTAACCTTTGTAACAAAAACAT